AAGAAAAAAAAAAAGAAAAAAGGAAAAAAAAAGTTGATGCTTGTGCCACTGGACACACCCGCACACCATCCTCATGCTGATCACAAAGAGGGTGAGGGGCCGGGCACAGTGGCTCATGCCTGTAATCCCAGCACTGTGGGAGGCCGAGGCGGGCAGGTCATTTGAGGTCAGGCGTTCGAGACCAGCCTGACCAATATGGTGAAACCCTACTAAAAATACAAAAATTAGCTGGGCGTGGTGGCAGGCGCCTGTCATCCCAGCTACTTGGGAGGCTGAGGCAGAATAGCTTGAACCTGGGAGGTGGAGGCTGCAGTGAGCTGAAATTGTGCCACTGCACTCCAGCCTGGGTGACAGAATGAGACTCTATCTCAAAAAATAGAATGAAACAAAAAATTTAAAACCAAAAAAAAGAGGGTGATGGCTGAGTGAGGAGGCCACCGTGGGCCGCACACAGGGCCCCGGGAGGACAGGGCGCAGGGAGTATGAGCGTCCTGTCCACTGCAGTCGTTCCGCCATGGAAAGCAGGACCTGAGAGAAGCAAAGCTGCCTGGCTCAAAGCAGTGACTGCCCTGCTGGCAGTTGTAGTGGCCGGGTAGCACTCGGGCCGGGATCCAGGGGAGTGTAGGTGGCCACCTGGCCGTGTGCCTGAGTCCTACCCAAGCTGGGCACCTTTCCCTGGCAGTGCCTGGTAAGCTCGGCTGCCCTACTCATGGACTCTTGCCCATGGCCTGTTCCTTGTAGCAGGGCCGGGCTGTGGGAGGTCCGGACAGGATCTTGAATGGCCCTGTCTGCGGTCCTGGCTGGCCGGAGGTTGACTGCACTGGACAGGTCAGGGGCCTTAAACCAGGGTAGTGAGGAACCAGCCGAGCCCATGATGCTCCCCAGGCTGCCTTTGGCTCTCGGACAGACAAGCTCCTAAGGCGAAAGGTCTCCTGGGGCTGATTTCCAGGGACTTTGGCTCCTGCAGAGAGGCCTGGAGGCGGGGCTTGGTGTTCCAGGGCCAGAGTCCTCCCGGTGGAAGCTGAGGGGCCTGATTAAATGCCTCCCTTCCTAGGCAGCAGCCCAGACGCGGCACAGAGAGGGCTCGGGAGCTTGCGGCAGCTTCAGGTGAGTTTGCTCCCAAGCACCGCGGCTCATTTATGGGTTTGTTTGGGCTGCAGAACTGTTTGTGGAGCAGCGGGGTTGGAGTGCCCATGGCTGGGGGCCTCTCCTCAGAGCCCTTGATTCACAGAGCCCCTCGAAGCCCGCAGTCCTGCCTGCCCTGAAGAGCCTGGTTCTCCCAGCCGTTTGGGCTGTGGTCCTGTCGTGGGAGGTGACAGTGAGGGCGCACTGCCTGGGGTCCTGACGGGGGTGTTTGACCCTTTGGTGGCCTCCCCTGTGCTGTGGTCCCGGCCCCCAGATGGAGCCCCCCGTCCCCACGGCAGCACTGGGGCAGGGCTGGTGAGGAGCATGTGCATGGCCCCCGCCGCTGTCCTCAGCCAGGAGGGTGCCTGGTCCCTGGGGAGCGGCCTCCACCTGTTTCTGGAGAATGCTGTCCTGCCAATTGTCACTGGGGATGGGCGGTCGTAGTCCACGTCCTCCCCCAGGGCGGGGCCCTGGCCTGGTTTCTTGTAGGGACGACGGGAAGCCCTGTCCTCAGCCCTCCCACCTCAGGGGTGAGCTTCACGTCCTTGGGGCCATCTCCTCCACAGGGGGCCTCAGCGTCAGTGGGGACGCAGGCAGAGGTGCCTGTCTTTGAGTTGTGGGCACCGACTGAGCTTTGTCCCAGTAGTGGCTGGCTCTTGTTTTCTGTCTGGACCAGCAGCCTCTGGTCTGGTGGGTGCAGTTCTAGGGCGCAGTGGGTTTGCTGTGGGGCCAGGCCGGGCCACCAGCTGCCTGGACACAGGGGCCTCCGCTTTCTGTCTGCTGCCCCGCACACCCCCAACTCAGGCAGGGGTGACACTGGGGCATCTTTGTTGGGGTCGCTGCGGTTCCCATGGTGGTGAGATGGCTCTGGTGAAAGACTGATCGAGATGCAGGGCCCGGGAGCAGGTGCTGTGTGAGTGGTACACGCCTGTGTCCCCTGCGGGGCAGGGGAGGGCCCAGGGTATACAGCCGTGTACATCATTAGTTAGCAAGACAGTGAGGAGTGTGTGTGGAGTGGATGCAGCTGTGGGTGCCACCCGCGCAAGGCTGGGGGTTGCTGTGCCAGCCCTGCTCCCATGTGGGCTCCTGGCTCCCTAGGTGGAGATGCTGACCCAGGGAGGTGCCTTTGCCTGCACCCACTGGAGTCTCAGGAACATGCGTCACATCCCCACATCATGCCCACTGAGCCCACCACCTACTGAGAGGCACCCTGAGACCCTGTCCTGCCACAGGTGGGCTGTCAAGGCCAGCACCAGAGACCCCCAGCAGACCTCAGTGGCCGCAGATGGAGTGGGGCGGCAACGGTCACCTCCAGGACTCAGCCCTGTGCTGAGTCGTGGACAGTGTGGTCATACTGGCCCTTCTCATGCGCATCCCCTGGCTGGACACTCCTTGCTGCCCTCACGGGGTATGTGTGTGGCATGCCTCATACAGGACAGGGACCAGCCAGTTGGCCCTGCTCATTAACCACTTGTCCCCACAGGGCAGTGGCGGCCTCACCTCTGCAATTCTCCGAGGCTGGATCTAGGCCACCGCCCCGTTTAAAACTAGGGCAGCGGTTCCCAGGGAGGGTGGGGAGCTGCACGGTTGGACTTGTGGGGGGCAGGCATGGGTCCACACAGCCCGGGGCCCTCAGCACCCTGCCCCTCCAGGAAGCCTGGAGGTGGGCGTGGCTGCAGCCTGGCTCTGTGACAGTGCTAAGTCCTGGCCACTCTCGAGGTGCCGCCCTGAGAGTGAGCCCCTGCCGGCCGGCTCCTGCTGGTTCCCATTCGCAAGCACCTAAAACAGCCTGGCCCACAGCAGAGGCCCCGGGGGTGTTTGCTAAACCAGCGGGCGGCACATGCGGCTCACAGGCGGCTCACAGGAGCGGCACAGATGCTCCACCAGCAGCAGGCCCTGCAGGAGCAGCAGCAGCCCAGGGCGTGTCCCCGGGGTCAGGGCTCGACATGCTCTGCGGGTCCTCACCCTGTCCCTGGGGGACCAGTCTGGGCAGACTCCTTGGTGACAGTGTCTCCCCCTCACCCCCAGTTATTTGGACAGGAACTTGGTGACGGTGCCCCCTACTCCTCCCCCGGTTATTCGGACAGGAGCTTGGTGATGGTGCCCCAGCCCACCCCCTCACCCCACCACCAGTTATTCGGACAGGAACTTGGTGACAGTGTCTCCCCCCCATCCCCAGTTATTCGGACAGGAACTTGGTGACGGTGCCTCCCCTCCCCCCTCGGTTATTCGAACAGGAACTTGGTGACGGTGCCTCCCCTCCCCGGTTATTCAGACAGGAACTTGGTGACGGTGACAGTGCCCCCCCAATCGCCCCTCCCACCCGCTTATTTGGACAGGGAGCCAGGAGGGGAACCACGAATTGACCTGACCTGCGTCCAGCCCTCCTCAGGGTCACTGCACTGGGTGATTCACATGTGCCCAGGCCCTGAAGTGGGCTGGACCTGGGAGTGGCAAGCGAGCCTTCCTCCCGAGAGCCTCTGGCTGGCCGCAGCAGGCCCTGTCCCTGCTGTCCTCAGGCGAGTGGCCCTGGACATGATAACCCCCTGCCAAGGTCTGGCCAGAGCCAGCACCCACGGCCGAGATACAATCAGCCCTGGCTGGGCGCTGTCCCTGGAGGTGGCTGCTGGTTCTGCCCTCCCTCCTTCTCACCACTCCTTGCCCCTCTTTCCTGGGGTCCCCTCCCATCGGAGTCTTCCTCCTAAATGCAGTTCTCTCCCTGTAGGGGAACGCCGGCTGGGAGCCTTTGTTTTTTTTTTGCCCAGGCTGGAGCGCAGTGGCGCGATCTCGGCTCACTGCAACCTCCGCCTCCCGGGTTCAAGCAATTCTCTGCCTCAGCCTTCCGAGTAGCTGGCATTACAGGCGCGTGCCACCACCCCCAGCTAATTTTTGTATTTTTAGTAGAGATGTGGTTTCACCATCTTGGCCAGGCTGGTCTCGAACTCCTGACCTCATGATCCACCCACCTCAGCCTCCCAAAGTGCTGGGATTACAGGCATGAGCCCCCCACACCCGGCCTGGGAGTCTTTTCCGTAGCTGCTCGTCCTGTACTAGCATTTGTCCATCCATGAGTGGATGGGGACGCAGGGGGACCCAGGACCCACACCTGCAGTCGGGAAGGCTGGCAGGGTGGATTTCTGGAAGAGCATCAGTGCCAGCTTCCCACAGTCACCCCTGTGATGGGACCCTCAGGTTGGCACGTGGCTGGCAGCTGTGTCCCGGGAGTCCCAACTGTTTGCAGCCTTTGCTCCTTAGTGGGCCTTGCCAGCCAGGGCAGGGCCCCCACCACCCACACGGGGCTCTCGACTCCTCTGGCAGCAGGTCAGGGGTGGTTCAGTGATGCCATCTCTGGAGATCCCCTGGCGTGCGCTGGAAAACTCCAGAGAGGCCTTAACAGAGCCGGCTGTTCCGCTTCCGTGACAGGGATGTTTACTCTTCTGGGCAGGCTCCTCTCCTCCGAGCACCCACGAGAGGGTACTGTGTTGTCCCTGCTCTCCTAGGACAGGCCTCCCTCCTGTCCAGATGGGGCCCGCAGGGTCGGGTGGCTGAGACTGGCTCCAGCTCAGGGAGGGTTTTCTGAGCGAGCACAGGGGAGCAGGAGGCCGGCAAGCAGCTCACTTCCTGCCCTGGGTGCAGCTGGGCACCATGTCTGCCCTGGGCCTGCTAAAGGCATCAGTGAGGAGCAGGCAGGACCTCGTATGAGCCTGTGTTTCTAGCAGCGCGCGTGACCCCAGGTACCACGTGCGTGAGTGCATGGGTGGGTGAGTGCGTGGGTGGGTGAGTGGTGAAGGCGCTGAGACTGGCCCTGGCGGGCACACAGTCCTCACACACAACAGGGGCAGGGCTCCTGTCAGAGCCAAACCAGCTCAGGGCCCAGTGCAAGCGGTTTCTGTCCCGTGGCACCTCTGCTAGTCACAGCTCCCACCCAAGCCCTGCCCCACTTAGGGTTTGGCTGCAGAAGGGGAGTGTCGGAAATGCCCAACCCGTCTCCTGTGAGGGACTCCTGCGTGGCATGGGCCGGGGAGTGCAGGGGTCGTTTGGGTGATTCCAGGGTCTGGCGTAGCCACACGAGAGGCCCTGAGTTGATGTGGGCTCCCTGCTGGGGAGCCTGCTCCGTGCGTGCTGGGCTCCCAGCGTTGCATCCAGTGGCATTCAGGGCCCTGTGGACCTCGCCTGCGTCCTGCGCGTTTAAACGCTGCCCCTTGTGGAGGCCACCAGCACTGGTGGCTGCAGGGCCTGTAGTGTGGCGCGTCCACGTGAGATGAGTGGCGAGGCACAGTTGTGCCCAGAGACGCAGCCTGGAGAACGGGCCTGGATGTCTCCGTCATGGTTTTATGTTCGTTTCACACGGACGCAGCGATGTCTCAGATACCTCGGATCGTGCAGGGCACGTGGCCAAGGCTTGTTTTGTCTGTTCCTTTTCTCCTGTCTTACATGGCTACCAGGAGGTCTGCCACGACTCCCGTGGCCCCCATCCACACTGCGTGGCGCTTTCCAGCCTGGCTGCCAGCTGCCCCTTTGAGCGCAGATGTGAGCACAGGGTGGTCCCTGGGGAGAAGCACCGGCAGGCGAGTGAGCCAGGCTGTGCCCAGTCAGACCCCTGCAGACCCCGAGGCTTGAATTTCATGGAACTCTCACCTCTCACGGAGTATTGTTTTTCTTTTGATTTTTTCCCAACCATTTAAAAATTTAAAAGCCATTGTTTACTTGAGGGCTGGACCAGGCTTAGGGCTGGGCTCTGGTCCGCACCCCACACTGGCCCTGTGTGTCCTGTGCCCATTCTGCCTGCGAGGCAGGCCTGAGCCACCACAGGATTGCGGGGTCCTCAGGGTGCAGGGCCCGCGATGCTTCACCCCTCCCACGACCCCAGCACCTTCAGAGAAAACGGGCCCTCGTGTCGAGTGGAGCGGTTCAGGCGAACGTTATCACCACACGGGGGACTTGGCGGCTTCTGCCCCAGGCTTCAAAGGAGAGGGGATCCA